ACGTTAAGCCCTTGACTTCTAACCCTAAGGTTGGTCGTTCAGACCCACCCGGTGGCTCTGCGGGAGAAAAGGCCTGGTGATCTGTGCCGTAAAAAACCCAATGGCTGCCGTGCAGCCATTCCCGCTCACGAAAACCCTTTAGGATAGCGGGGTTCTGCTAGAGCTCAACTCCACCACCACCCATGGTCCCTTAGGAGAGAACAGACCTGCTCCGGTGGGTTCTAAGCCTGTAAAACTTCTCAGAAATGGCCTGCCTCACCTTAGCCCCAAGGAGCACTGGTGGATTTGAACCGCCAACCTTTGGGTGAAGGGCAACCCCATTTAACCCACTGCACCACTAGGCCTCCTTTTGGAAAAAAACTGCCATCAGGAAAACCCTGGGGGACAGCTCTTCTCTGTCACACGGGGTCACTATGAGTCCAAATGAGCTCTGTGCCCCCTCCCCGCACCGCAACAATACCATAAGGTCAAGGAGAACAAAGAAAACAATTACAGTAAGATATGCATCTTAATAGGGAAGTGTTTGGGTGCTGCTCCTGCATCTAACCAGTGGGTTTACCAGAAACACCTGTGGGTTTACCAGAAACCATTCCATTTGAGAGATGCAGGCAAATTGTAACAGGATGCAGAGGGGGCTGAGGGTAAACTAGAATCCGCGGTGTGCTGCCCAACAGATTAAAAGTCACGGCGACCCCTGTGCCCCAGGGTAGAGCCGCTGCGCAGGGTTTCCTAGACGATGAATCTTTCCTCTCTTTCAACTTTTTACTGTGCAGGTGAACAAAGTGAATCCACAAGTCGTACACATTTTTTTGTCTCAGCTTAATCGTTGCCATCTCTGTAGGTACCATGGCTGATTCCACAGGCTCCCAGCGCTTCCTGTCTCCCTCCCTCCTCCTTCCCTAACCCTCTGAACTTTGTCTTGGGTAAATGCTGCCCTTTGGGTCTTAAATGGCTGATTATTCTACCACAGGGTAAGTTCCATTCCTGACGTGAAGTGTGACCAAGGGCCATAGTCTCGGGAGTCCCACCTGTTTTTATCAGTCAGCCTGCGCTCCTTTTGCTCCACATTTTCCCCCAGCTCTGTCTAGGACCTTCCAGTGGGATCCTATTCAGAGCCCTCAGTGTAGGAGCGGCTGGGCACCATCTGGGTCTCCTGGTCTCAGATCCATGGGGATGGATGCTTGCCGGCTTCCTTAGTTCATTGGACTAATCTTTCCATCTGCCTTGTGATTTACACCTCTCTCTTTCCTCGGCACTGGGCAGAGACCAGTGGCTCCCCTTCAATGGCTGTTTAGGAGCTTTTAAGACTCCAGTTGAGCGGCAGCTCTTTTGGCTCATCGCGCCTCTGGGCAACTTGGAACCGCCAACCTTTCCGTTAGCAACCAGGCATTAACCCTTCTGCCGCCACGCTGTGGGAGAAAGCAGAAAATGCCCTTCACTGACGCAGCTTCCCCAGTGAGGTGAAGAAGGTTGGCAAGAAGGCAGGGGGAGAAGAATGGAATATTCTCACAAAGGCGCTCGGTCTGGTGGATAAACATGTTGTGCATCACTCCCTAGGTTATAACTTGGGGCAGAACTCTTATCTTGAAATCCTGCCTGTCCCTTGTCCAGGTGTCAGTCTCTACGATGAAAACCATCTTGAAGACTAGAGCAGGGTGACTTGGGAGGCTCGTAAGTGATTGGGAATGTTACCGGAATAAAATTAAAACAAGGTCCCTGTGGCACAATGGTTAAACATGGAGTGGCCAGCTGGAAGGTTGGTGGTTGCAACCCCACCCCTCCGTGGGTTAGGACGTCAGAAAAGTCCACGGGCTGGGAGACGGAGGAGCCTCTCTGGGACGAGAGACCTGAAATCTGCTCTTGTCAGGACTGTGTTCGCTGTTGTCGTGACTCATCGTGACCCTGTGAGCTCAACAAAGCGAAACCCTGACGTGTCCTGGCCAGCCTCGCAATCGCTCCTGGTATAGCCTGTTATCACAGCAGCTGTGTCCTCCCTTTTCCTGGGACCTCCCACGTCACCAAGCTTGGTGTCCTTCTCCAGGGACTCACCCCTCTTGATTGCACGTCCAAATATAGAAGATGAAGGAGCACTGCCTTCATTTTAAGAACATCCCAGTTTGTTTGCAAGCCAGACCTCTCTGTTCTTTTGACAGTCATGGTCTAGTTAATATTCTTTACCAACAAGGTAAGTCAAAGGCACCAGTTCCCCTGGGGTCTTCCTGACTCGTTGTCGCAAGCAGATGTAAAGATGTGCAGATTAAAAACACGATGGCTCCGATCCACCTCAGTCCTCAGAGTGGCACCTTGGCGTCCTAACATTTCAAGACCTTTGCCAGCAGATCAGATCCCCGATCAGAGAGGCATCCGATGTGTTGACTGCTGCCTCAAGGGTGTTCATCGTGGATGCAAGTAAAAGAAATCTTTGACCACCTCAGTCTTGTCTGTACTTATCATGATGGTGGTGATTGGCCCAATTGTGAGTAGTGTTGTTTTCCGATTCGTATTGAAGGCTGCAGGCTTTGATGGTCATCAGTAAGTGCCTCAAGGCTTCTTTGCTTTCAGCCAGGAGGCTTGGGTCATCTGCATGTTGCAAGTTATTGATGAGCTTGCTTCCAAGCCTTGCGCTGCATTCTTCTACATACAGTCCAGCTTCGTGGATGCTGTGCTCAGCACACAGACCGAGTAAGTGTGGTGAAAGGATGCAACCCTGATGCACACTTTTCTTAATTCTAAGCCCTACGGTATCGCCTTGCCTGATGCAGTGATGTTAGTATAGGTACAGGTTCTGCATGATCACAATGAAGTATTCTGAAATCCCCATTCTTCAAAATCCTAGCCACAAGGTGTCTTGATCCGCACAGTCAATAAAACCTCCTCAGTCCACTTCAGAGGCCTGGGCTGAAGTGAGGGGGGGAATAGGGTGTTCTCATCCTTAACAACACCAATGGTTTGTTGTTGTTGTTCATTTATCTAAATGTTGATTGTTGGTCCAGTTGTAAAGATTTTTGTTTCACAACACTGAGTTCTCATCTAGTCTGAAAGCTGCCGTCTTTGATCTTCAAGTGCTTCGAGTTCCCTGCCCTTTCCGCAAGCAAGGCTGTGTCGTGTGCAAACTGCAGTGTGTTAGGAAGCCTTCCTCCAGTCCTGATGCCGTGCTCTTGATCCAACCGATGGAATAAGTACGGTGAGAAGACACAGCCCTGCTGCATAGCTTTGCTCATTTTACACCATGCAGGATCTTTTGTTCTTTTCCAACAACTGCCTCTAGGTACGTGAGCACAACTAAGGGGTCTGGAATTCCCTTTCTGCTCAATGTTATCCATAATTAGTCATGATCCAAATGGTCAAATGCCTTGGCATCATCACTAAACCGCAACTCAATGTATTTCTGGTATTCTCTCCTTTCAGCCCAAATCCATCTGATATCCATAGCCTCTTCTGAACTTGGCTTGAATTTCTGGCCACTCCCCATCAATGTCCTGCTGCAACCATTGTTGAAAAATTTCACGTGCGTGTGATATTAATGATATCGTTTGGTCGTTTGTGCATCTCTTTCAGTCAGCTGACCAGATCGCTGTCTTTCACGTTTCTTAGCATAGACTGGTGAGTGCGTCCAGTGTGGCCTCGGTGTCTTGCTATGATGGCCACTCCTGGAGCCTTATTTCCCCACGGCCCTTCCACGCAGCTTGCACTTTTCCTTCGATAGCATCAGTTCTTGACCACCTCCTGAAATAATTGCTCATCAACCAATTATTTTGGGGACAGTGAAGATCCCTTCCAGCCTCTTTCCGTGATTCCTACATCACTCAATAGTCTGTCCATTGAATCTGTCAATATGGAAACTTGAGGTGTGCTGTGTTCCCTCTGGCTCTTTCCGCTTTGTTCAAGGCTTTGTGGGTTTCTAACTCCGGGTCTTTGCTCGGTTCCTGATAGCGCGTTGTCTTCTTGCGCTGCCTTTTGAAATGTCCTAGTCAGCGCTTCCTTCCTCCCGTCTTCCATTTGCTTTAGATCCTTTATATCCAAGAGTGAGTTTCCGAGTCTCTTCTGACATCCACTTTGGCGGTTTCTTTCTTTTTTGTCTTTCTAATGACCTTTGGCTCACCTTGTGTAGCATGTTCTCCATATGGTCCCACAGCTCATCAGGCTTTAGTGCTCCGTGTACCACATCTGGTCTTGAGCTGGTCTAAATTCCGGTGGGATAGACGTGAGGCCATAGTTTGGATTTCAAGGCTTTTTGTAAATTTTTTTCAACTCCAACCTGAATTTGGATTGTATGGTCTGCTTCATGGTCAGCCCCTGCCTTTGTTTTTGCCTGCTGCTATGTCTCCCCACCGTCTCTTCCCACGGACGCAGTCAATGTGATGCCTACGTGTTCTGCCTGGCAAAGCCCATGTGTACAGTCGCCACTTACGTTGTTGTGAAACGGTATCTGCAGGGAAGTCATTGGTCTTGCGAAATGCATATGCTTTCCAGCGTCATTTCTGTCACCAAGGCCGTGTATTCAAACTAGTGACCTCTCCTCTTTGCTTCCAGCTTTCGACTCTTCTGTTCAGTCCTTTGACTTCCCCCTGGGTTCCTTCTGCTCCGGCTTCCCTGCACTCTGCAGCAAGGCCCAGAGCCTCTTCTGATACCCATTTTGGTCGTGTCTTTCTTTCTTGTCTCTTGAGTGAATTTTTGGCTTCTTCGTGTTTGATGTCCTTGATGTCAGCCCACACTCATCGGGTCATTCGATTTCAGTGTATCAAAGCTGCCCTTGAGAGCGTCTCTAAACTCCGGTGGGGTATACTAAAGGCTATATTTTATTCTCGTTGCTGTTAGGTACTGTCAAGTCGGTTCTGACCCATAGCAACCCTAAGAAGAAGCACCCGACCAGGTCCTGTGCCAGCCTCACAGTTGTCCCTATGCTTGAGCCCATTGTTGCAGCCACTGTGTCCACCCATCTCCTTGAGGGCCCTCCTCTGTTTCTCAGCCCCTCTACTTACCAAGCGTGAGGTCCTTCTCTAGCGACTAGCTTCCCCTGACAACATGTCCAAGGTGTGCAAGACAAAGTCTCGCCATCCTTGCCTCAAAGGAGCACTCTGGCTGTACTTCTTCCAGTACAGATCAGTTTGTCCTTCTAGCAGTCCAGGATGCTTTCAAGGGCACCACGATTCAAGTGCATCAATTCTTCTTCGGTCTTCCTTATTCAGTGTCCAACTTTCACGTGCATAGGAGGAGACTGAAAATCCCATGGCTTGGGTCAGGAGCACCTTAGTCCTCAAAGTAACATCCTAGCCTTTCGATCCTCTAAAGAGGTCTTGTACAGAAGATATACCTAAGGCAGCCCATCTTTTGATCTCTTGACTGCTGCTTCCATGAGTATTGATTGTGTCTCATGGTTTTTCCAGAGAGATAGTCAATTTGACTTCTCTGGTTTTCACATAGCCCTCTTTATGTGGCTGGAAAAAGACAAAAAAAGCCTTTCCAATGAAGAAGTTGTTGGTCTCACAAAGTTCTATCAGGCATCATTTCTATTACCAAGGTCATATTTTCCAACTGCTAAGCCTTTTTCTTTGTTAATAATCAGTGCATTTGCATGTTTTATCAATTCCAGATCAGGAATGTAGCAGCATCACTCTAAGACGGGTCATTCTAGTATAGCGGGCCATATGACTGTCCGACTCAAGATGACCAGTATAGCGCGAGCGTTATGCATTCTATCTCATTTTGGACACCTTTCTCCTTTCCTAGATCGTCCTCATAAATATTACAGCCTGGAAAACCCATGGGACAGTTCCACGCTGTCACATGATGCCACTGTAAGTGGAAAATGAACTGGTTGGCAGCTAACTAGATTAAAACATAACCAATACCCCCCCAAAAAAAATACATATTTTATACTGTGATAACTTTGGGAAGGGACCAGGAGCCCTTCCATTGAGGGTC